TCTCAGGACAGTTCCGGTGCAGACCTCCACTCTCAGGACACCTCCACTGTCAGTACAGGAAGTGGCGATTCTGACGAACACGTTTTTTCCCCCGCCGTCCAGGGGTCCCACGGGTCCCGCAGCGGGGTGGAGGCTCCCAGCTGGAACCTCCCCACCTCCGCCGCGGTGCACCCGGCAAACACGGTTGTTTCTCTCGATAATAAGTGTCAGTGCGATTTTATGTCGTATTAGCATGCATTTCCTGTTCGGAAAGAGGCACTGTACTGATAGTGGCGATTTTATTTTGAAATGCTTAGCGTGCACTTCCTGTCCTGAGAGTGGAGGTATCCTCAGAGTGGAAGTGCACGCACGCTAAGAATTCCAAAATAAAATCACCACTATCAGTACAGTGCCACTTTCCAAACAGGAAATGCACGCAAATACAAAATAAAATCGTACTGACACTTATTATATACATAATGTATATATAGATATAAAAATAGGGACACCTTGTATTGTTTACTCTCAGTACAGCACTGAGGGGGCCGGACACAGGCCGTGGGGGGACACCCGAGACCGAGCAAAATAAATAAATAATAAAACCGGGGAAAAGTGAAAAAAAGTGTCCGAAAATAGGCACTCGTGAGGCGGGCAGAGTCCCCTGTCAACTCCCGTTACATTCCTCCATGGTGTCATTTGAGCGAAAAACTTTTACGAGAACCAGCCTGGGGGGGTCAAAAGGGCTTGACCAAGGCCGACCCAAAGTGCACGGTGGGCGGACTCATCACCTCCGTGATGAGTCTCCATTGTGATTTGAAAACTTCCATCAAACGAGTCCTTCGGTGGGCGGGAAAAAAACGTGTCCGTCAGAATCGTCACTTCCTGTACTGACAGTGGAGGTGTCCTGAGAGTGGAGCCTGCACCGGAACTGTCCTGAGAGTGGAGGTCTGCAGGCAGGCTCCCATGGAACAATCCTTGAACTTGTGTTTGCTTGTTCATCATCTTAGGAATTTAAGTGTTAAAAATAGCATGTGACTGCAATTAAGTGTAGAAATCAGTTAAGTCCTGGATAATCCTGTTTCCAAACAGCAGAAAAATATTGTTGTTTAATTATGTCTAAAAAGCAAAAAGCACTCCCTCATCATCTGTATCTCCCCGTTCCTTTTTCTGCAAGGTACCAAACAGTTTTACGTCACTACGAGACACTGGAAGTTGTTAGCTGTGTTGGCAAGAATCTGGCGACATGTGTCATCATATAACTTTCTCATTTTAGGGGAACTAAACGAGTATAACGCACACAGCAACATCTGTAAAAGATCGGAGAAAAAATGTACCTGTGTTTTTTTGGGTTCAAGTATGACCAGGAAGCTTTGTATATGCCATCCAACACATCTATACGGTCATATTTTGTATAATTGTGTATTGCTATATGCAATGAAAAGCTCATCTTCAGCTATATCACAATGATCAGGACCATCTAGATCATGATTAACACATTCATTGGCTTATAAGAAGGATTCTCATCCAAAAGCATTTTGCTGTTTATTTAATTTTGGTTTTGACATTTTGAAGAGGTTTACATGGCAATCAGACCGGTTCAATAAAAATGTATTCCCAACTTTCCAAGCGGAGATAATACCTAGGGTGTGTCGTATTTAGTTTTCAACGGCTCTTACACAATGCACGCCTCTAAATACACGTTATGCTCTGCTGCCACTGTGCATACCTCTGTTATTGTGGGAAAGGGATAAATATGCTGTACTCTATCATTCAACTAGTCATCTATTTCACCTCTTAGTTTTTGTGACACTGTGGGTGGGGTTGAGTTTCTGGAGAGACCAGTTTGCCAGCATAGGAACAAAGATGCCTGAATCTGGGTGGGTGTAGATACACGTGCCTCTGGGAACAGGGCTCAGATGCTACCACGACTGGTTCTTCAGGTGAGACAGACTTCACATCTCAAGCAGTTTGGAGGTTTGACCAGGAAATACTGACATAGAAGAGAGGCTTGGGGGGATAGAATATCAAAAGGGGATAGAGAACATCATTCTGACCTGCCCAGTCTGTTGAACACGTGATTGTTGGGTTTGGTGACATTATTGAAGAATAAATCCAACTGGAAAGAATGAGGTGACGTCTCCCTGGAAACACACACATTTATGTGGCAATTAGGGCTATATGGACATACATCAACAAAGGGGTGGGCGTTTTGACAATATGGAAGCAGACGTCAGATTGTCAAGTACACATTTACAATGTATTGCAATTCCATAAAACTTCTTTAACATAAATTATACTATGCATGGGACACTATAAACATAAAATGTGATTGTTGGTTAGTTATTATACTGCATCGCATTGATCTAGGTTAGGGGTCGGCAACCCGTGGCTCTCGAGCCGCATGCGGCTCTTTAAGCCCCCTGCTCTGGCTCCTTGAGCTTAGACAAAAATAAGAAGGAAATTAAATAAAAGTATTTGTAAGACTATTTAAATAATGTTGCACGGTTGAAAATGTTTCGTATCTTGTATTTTGAGGTGATACTGTGACACATAAATAAAAAACAAAACGGTTTTTATTAGGTTAACTAAAATATGCGTCATATTCTGCGACGGCGAAATATGGATAAATCAAAGAAAAATATCGGATGATCACAGGATTTAATTCGGCGTGGTTAGAGTTATATGCTTTCAAGCAAACGATGCTGGTTTACCGGTATGTTTGATATGTAGAGAGATGTTGTCGAATGTGCCTTTACGTATCGAGGAAAAAAACGAAAGAGACGATCTTCAGTCATAATTCAATCAGTTAACTATTTTTAGGGTGCAGCTATATGTTTTATTTATTTCAAAGCAGGTCAATTGTATTTATTTTCCTTCAAATGTGCAGAGGACTCCAAGTGCTGTGTTGATTTATTTTAAAGGAGGCCTGTGTATTTTTTTTATTGTATTCTCCTTATAAGAGTTATTTGTTTCTTATTAGAGGTTAGCAGTTTTATATAATGTAATAAATGCAAAAAAACTCTAGTTTTTGTCTATGATATAACAATGAATACAACTGTATAAGCTATCAAGCTGTCAAATATGTTTTGCGGCTCCAGACAAAAAAAATGGTTGGAAAAGGGGGCAAAATGGCTCTTTTGGTCAAAAAGGTTGCAGACCCCTGATCTAGGTGGACCCAATACACTGGCACTTACTGTATGTCACTGAGTGTTATAGTGCTCTTACCCGAATGCTCTGCTGTCAGGTAAGTTGCTGTGTGCTTTGATGCCCGGAGGAATCACCCGCACCTCTGTGATCAACACCCCGCAAGGAAACCGAACCACATCGATGTTGGTCAACTGAATTGCATTGAACACCATAATTAATAAAACAAACATTTAAATAAAACAATAACATCTAAGTTTATTAATGTAGCCCAATGTCAAAAAAACACGTTTGTGTCAGTGGGCTTTACAGATTAACAAACATGAATGACAGTGCTAAAAGTCAAAGAAAATGACAAGATAGAATGTAAAATGCAAATAAAAATAGAATGAGATAAATTGAGATAATGCCACCACTAGTTACCACAGATCAAAACAGACACTTCTGATGGCCATGTTTAGGCTAAACACTAGCATTAGCCACTCTGCTAACTAGAAAACAAACTGCGCAAGGGGGTAAAAAAGCTGTGTGACTTTATAGGGTTATGTACATATAAATATATTTAACTTATAACGCAACATGAGTTGTGAATGTAGGAAAGTGTGCAACGTAAGTGCAATACATGCAGTGAATTGTTGCCACAACAACCAGGACATATTGCTAAGGTTAGCCATGCTACCATCGTTAGCTTAGAAGTTTAGCATCGATCTCTAAGACTCCTGACTCTGACCAGTATGAGTGTTCAATGCTGGCGGATCTGGGGTAAGTATACAAGAGGGTGGTAAGGCATGACAAATATTACCTCTGCACTCTGGTGTTTAAAAGTGTCAAGAAAAAGAAGCTCGGTTGAGGTGTCCCCCGCCATCGCTTACTGCTCCGTTGGGCCAGGGGTACACTTCCGGTCTGTGTGGGTGAACACTTCCGGAGCACAAATGTAAACATCAGAAATAATACTTAAACTAATATTACTTTGAAGAGAAAATAAAAGAGACATTTATACCTTAATTACACTAACATCATGTAACTAGTTTACTTACTAATACCTAATTGTAATGTATTATAACATATTCATATATATATAGTTTATTACATTAAAAAGACAAGTTTCTGTCCGTGCATAATCTTTTGGTATATGTAATGGTTTAATTCATTAAAGTTTGTTTTTTCCTTTTTGTGTATTTTATTTTATTTTATCAGTGTTGTTTTATATAGCCTAGCAACACTTTATTCCTGCGGTATTGGTAATAAAATAAAATATAAAAATTATTGTATTGTTTGCTGTCAAGTAGCCTACTGTACATTTAGCAAATAAAAAAAACTAATGTATACCAAAGTGCTTTTTTACTCAGAAGTTAGGCTGATAAAACATTAATAAGTTAATATAATTCAATTAATGAAAACATAATATGTTTTATTAAATGCATAGCATAGTTACTTCACAAACAGAATGAATACAAATAAAAACAAGAGGGGATCTTCCATTTTCAATATAGGCTACTTTCAATATGCTTATACAACTTTATTAAATCATATTTGTGTAAATACAAGATATTCCTAATAGGAATTATTGAATTATTTAAGAGCACGTGGGTACACCTTTTTATTCTTCAACTAGACCTCACCCTGTTATCATTGAAACCTGCAGGGCCCCGTAAATTGTTAATTTTAATTAATTAATTAATTCAAAGAGATACTCTAATTAGTCCTACTTTGATACTGAAAAATATGCAAAGAAACGTATTGATATTTCGGTCCTCCGTGGTCTGCCACGTCCTAATCTGCAAACGACCTGAAGGAGGGAGGGGGCAGGTAAAGAGTCACGTGGTCACACAGGTAGATGCAATACAAAAACGGGGCACGTTCAGCCATTACTCGGAGGTGGTGACTGCGGGATGTTTCACGAAAGATTTTACAAGCGACGAAACTTGGATTTACAGACTTCACCTTTTCGCTCAGGTGTCACAGTAAAGGTTTTTATATACATTGGCTCCCGCGTGTTGACTTAGCAGGTGTATCTTCAGTTCCTGCCTTTTACTTTTTGTGCAGCATTGGATAATTTTTTTCGGCGGTGTTTGTGCTCAGATGACGGCGCAGGTAGACTACCTGGTGGTGTTTTTCACCGCCACATCTGGCGCGAGTGGAGAGCTGCTGGGATCCGACGAGAAGGAGCTCGTGCAGTTGGTTTGGCAGCTGGTGGATGTAAAGAACAAACAGGTGAAACTTTATTATTTTTTACAGAGAGTTATTGTTAGTATAAATCAGGAAATATAGTGGTAAACAGCTCAAGTCGGACATAGTCTCCAAAACAAACTAGCCGTTTATAATACTGTTGTAAACATATATGAGCTTAATTTTGGGTCTTAAATTGTTAAGTAAAATGGGATGACTAATATATTCTCATAAACCTGTCTATATTTAAAACAGACTCCGACTCTGTTATGTGTAAATATAAATGTAATAAGAGTCTCTTTTACATACATGTAATGTTATTTATTCAGGCTTCAGCTTGTGAGTTTCTATGAGAGCTTCTGTTTCTAGACTAACATGTGTTTTCTTCTTCTCTGAACCAGTTGGGCAAGGTGAATGAGATCCTCATTAAGCCTGACCTCTCAGAATTGACAGAGAAAAAAGAGGAGGAGGATGTGGTGGAGGAGAGTGTGGAAGAGGAGAATGGATCCGGAGCAGATAATGTCTCCACAGCCTCAAGTTTTGAGACAGCATTAAACCTGGTAATAACCTACCTTAAATCATTACAATAAGCAGCATTATACCTGGTAATAACTTACCTTAAGTCATTACAAATAATGTTTTTTGTTACATACTAACTGTGGAGATACATGAGGATATATTGTCAGCATTTTAAATTATTTTCTAAATGCTTAATGCCTCGCCTTGCAGTTTCATCTAGAACTGTCAAACGAGGTGAACAGCGCGGGCGCAGGCACGTCGGTGTGTTTGTGTACAGACGGGCAGCTCCACATCCGCCAAGTGATTCACCCCGAGGCTGCGAGCAAGGTGAGCTGAATGGGTGAACGCCTTGCAGCCAGGGCGGATGTTCTGCAGGAACCTTCAGCGCTAACACAGTCACAAAGAGATATGTTGTGTCAGCACTGAGCTCCTGGTTGAATTGAAATGTACAGTGAAAGTTGCTCTAGAGCCAAGAGCCGCTCATGAAAACCTGTCCAATGACACACGCCCATGCACATACCACCTACACGATGAAGCTGATCATATTTCCCTGAATGTCTTTAACCCGTAAAGTGTAAGACAGAAATTATTGACCTGGCATGAGCAAACATTGATATGATGGCAATAAAAAGGCAGCTGTTGAAGGGCCGCTGGGTAACATCCGTTTCTTTAATGTCTCCCCTCTTCAGAACATCCTGGTCCCAGACTGTTTCTACTCTTTCTTTGACCTTCGGAAAGAGTTCAAGATGCATTTCCCGTCACCTGACCTCAAGGCTTTGAATGTACATATCATGGCAGAGTGTATCCTTCATTATGTCACTGTAAATGTTTGTAATATTAATAATGCATTCATATTGGATTTTATTTTTCGGTTATTCGTGCCCAAGTATATCTTGAGCTTTTGTGCCCCTCTATCGCTCAGAAACACGCATTAGAAGTTTGTAAGCCACGGGTGTTGGCTGCAAGACTGGAGGTTTTGAAATGCAAATGCAAATAGGGAAACAATGGCAGCACCTTACTCAGCGCTCAGTGAGCGAGTGTGTGTTTAGCCAACAGGGTAAACCCCACACACCCACTGAAACAGGATCAACTAACATCTATGTGTGTGTTTTTCTTTTATCACGTGCCATTTTTTTGTGGCGTTTCCATTTTTCGCAAATGTTACACCTGTCACATAATCACTTTGTACACGTATATCAAAACCTTCTTGCTGTCTCCGAACTGTAAACTGCTTTTATTTGGCTGTTCCTTGTTTGCGTTCCTTGACTGCCTCCCCCACAGCTCTTAGTATGCCTGTTGATGTGCCCCCCATGTGGGATCCCTCATCCACACTGGATCCCTCTGCCATACTGACCGCAGAAATAGCTGTACAGCAGGTCCAGATTATGGGCAGCATTGTCCTGGCCCTGCTTTCTGAGCCATATAGTGAGTACCATATACATGACTTTACACAAAGGTGGAATATTACAGTCTTGTCATTGAGTTAGGCCTCAAAGCTTACTGTGTGTGTGTTGACAAGTAAGATCAAGTGAGCAACAAAAACATTGTTCAAATGATATTTAAGGAAACAGAAAATGAATCAACAGTTAATTTAGACATTTCTCATCAAAAGTGCTAATTATTTGTTGGTCTCAGATTCTCTAATGTAAGTACTTAAGTGCTCTTTTTTTATTTTATATGACACTTTCCTCAAATTCTTTGGATTATTTACAATACATCTGACATAGGAAGCTATTTGAATAGGTTGCTTTCATTTAAGGCATTGATGTCATATGCCAAACAATTAATCAATAAATATAGGTAATAGATGAAGGATTAATCTACAAAGCAGCAGTTTGCTCTAAATGTATTTTCTGTTGAAGTACTGGTCAGTTTTGGTGTAATTTGTGATCTCATGTTTGACTCTATTGCTTTCCCATTACAGGCCACACATTTACTAACCAGGAGAGAGTTAGTGAGAAGTTTGAGAACGGCACTTGGTAAGTAAAGTTTGCTCAAGATAAATATTCTTGTTGTTCTACCTCTGAAATCAACTCCAAGTTTCACACCTGCCGTGCTAATGTCTCTGTGTGTGTGTGTGTGTGTGTGTGTGTGTGTGTGTGTGTGTGTGTGTGTGTGTGTGTGTGTGTGTGGTGTGTGTGTGTGTGTGTGTGTGTGTGTGTGTGTGTGTGTGTGTGTGTGTGTGTGTGTGTGTGTGTGTGTGTGTGTGGTGTGTGTGTGTGTGTGTGTGTGTGTGTGTGTGTGTGTGTGTGTGTGTGTGTGTGTGTGTGTGTGTGTGTGTGTGTGTGTGTGTGTGTGTGTGTGCTGTGTGTGTGTGTGTGTGTGTGTGTGTGGTGTGTGTGTGTGTGTGTGTGTGTGTGTGTGTGTGTGTGTGTGGGTGGGTGTGTGGGTGTGTGGGTGTGTGTGTGTGTGTGTGGTTTGTGTTTCTTCTTGTGTGTGTGTGTGTGTGCAGCAGTAAGATGGAGAAAGTGTGTGACAACTCAGTGATCAGAGCCAGAGGGTTGCCCTGGCAGTCTTCTGATCAGGACATCGCTCGATTCTTCAGAGGACTCAACATTGCCAAGTATGTTGGACCAATATTACCAGCACTCTCATTTATGAATTTTGTATCTTTAGGTAAATGTAATATACTAAAAACCTGCTGTTGACACAAGGTTCAACCCCCTCGCTAATGCTCTGTATGTTGTGTTGTTTAGAGGAGGGGCTGCATTGTGTCTTAATGCTCAGGGGAGGAGGAACGGAGAAGCTCTCGTTCGTTTTGACAGTGAAGAACACAGAGACCTGGCGCTGCAGAGACACAAACACCACATGGGCAACAGATACATAGAGGTAACCTGTCTGCATGAAATAAATGAATCAGCCACTCTACCTATATTAATCCAATCAATTGAGACACAAAGTCTTAACCTTTGTCTTGTTCCTTTCTAATGGCAGGTTTACAAAGCATCTGGAGAGGACTTCCTGAAGATAGCAGGAGGTGAGAAGATATAAACATTAGTAAAATTAGGTTTGGTGTTGTGTACACAATATAATTTGACCATATTAAGTCCTGAAGCTCTTGGGTGCCTTCTGGTGTAAAAGGGAATTTACTATTATGAAAATCAACACCCAAATAACAAAAATGCAACCAAAAAAAACACACTGTTTGGAAAACTTAATGCTGTTGAAAACCACCCTGTGGTCATTTTTATTTGTATAGTTTTAGTTAAGGTGTGTCTGCGTCTCTGTGTGTGGCAGGTACCTCCAATGAGGTGGCGACGTTCCTATCCCGGGAGGACCAGATCATAGTGAGGATGAGAGGTCTCCCCTTCATCGCCACACACGAGCAGGTGCTGGCCTTCTTCTCCCCGGGGGACGGCCTCAAAGAGACCTGTCCGGTCAGCGGAAGGGTGGACGGCATCCTGTTCGTACGCTATCCAGACGGGCGTCCCACTGGCGATGCTTTTGTCTTATTTGCCTGCGAGGAACATGCCCAGTGTGCTCTGAGGAAACACAAGGAAATCCTGGGCAGAAGATATATTGAGCTGTTCAAAAGTACAGCAGCAGAGGTCCAACAGGTATGTCAGGGTGCGCGCCTTGAAGTGGGTGTGCATCTTTGTTTGTCTGTACGTGTGCAAAATGCGTTTGTTAGCTTAATTATGTTAGCTTTACATGTGTCACTTCATTTTGTTCTGTCTTGTTTTCCTCTTTGCTTTCTGAGGGTAAAAAGAGGGTTTTAGGAAAAATATGTTAGTTTGTGTATGCACACAGCAAGGAGTGTGTGGGTGTGTTACCTTTCTCCTCAATTAGTTTTTGGAGTTGTTTCCCTTCAACAAATACTCTGTGAAAGGTTATTAGTCGATTTCTCTTTTGTTGGTCTTCCTCTGTCTTTCTCCCTCTCTTGTGAGTTGAAAACACGTTGACTTATTTTCTTATCTTGGCAGAGTGATAAGACCACAGCCCAGAGCCATATCTATGCAGAGGCTTCACCTCGTACGGTCATGTATGATGGACTGAGAGGTTTTATTGCTCCTCTAGAAATGCAAACAAGCCAGCGTTTGCCTGAAATTGCATGGACGTGGACATGTCTTTGTTGTACACAACATTTCTGCTAAAAGTTGGCCAATACTATATCTGTCTTTTATACACTTTCTTGATTTTAAATGTAACTATTAATAGCATGTGTGTATTCTGGTGTTTAGTGAACACATATGTTGGGTAGGGGAGATAGGCTACACTTAAATCAGTTTGGCCTCCTTGACTGTGTTTGCTCTAGGCAGAGTATGTAATTTATGTTGTGTTTTAGGTGTTGAACCGGTATTCTTCGGCCCCTCTGATCGCTGTGGCCCCTGCCCCCTTGGTGTCCATGCTGCCCACAGTGTCTCTCCTGCCCCCTCCTGGTGGTTTGAGAGACTGCCTGAGGCTCAGGGGGCTGCCGTACACAGCGAGCATAGAGGACATCCTCACCTTCCTGGGCGAGTTTACACAAGATATCAGACCACATGGCGTGCACATGGTCCTCAACCAGCAGGTACATGCAACAACCGCACTGACTCACCCATGGACTCACATTCTCTCCGACTAGGTTTTCACTACATGATTAAAAAAAAGAAAACATGTATTACCGCGATAGTAAATTTGGAAAAAACTATCAATAGTGCTACCGGTGAATTCACCTTTAAACGATTGGGGGTGGGATATAAAGCAAGAGCGGAAAAACAGAAGTAATTTAAGAGGCGTTTTATCATTATCTCCAAATATTACCATGTGTATTATTAACCTGTTATGAATATCTTACTGGAAATTTGCGACACCCCATCTCTAACACAAAGCGTGACCTCTGACTGTGTTTCCAGGGTCGTCCATCAGGTGACTGCTTCATCCAGATGACCTCAGCAGAGCGGGCGATCCACGCCTCACAGCGGCTCCACAAGCACGTCATGTCCAGCCAGCGCGGGGCCAGCAGCCGCTACGTGGAGGTGTTCCCCTGCAGCGCGGAGGAGATGGGCCTGGTGCTGATGGGAGGCTCGCTCTCACACACACATACACACACACACACCCGGAACAGGAGTGGGACAGGGCTCAGTCCGCCGCCATGTAAGTCAAGACGTAAGTGCCGCTGGGAGCTGGGGGTGCTTCGGGACTGCAGGGTAGGTGGGCTCCTGCCCTGGGGGGCAGGGTGGCTGGGTTTCCTCCAATCTAGTACTATAGGCGGGTCTGACAAAGAGAGGATAACAAACTGTGTGTGTGTGTGTGTGTGTGTGTGTGTGTGTGTGTGTGTGTGTGTGTGTGTGTGTGTGTGTGTGTGTGTGTGTGTGTGTGTGTGTGTGTGTGTGTGTGTGTGTGTGTGTGTGTGTGTGTGTGTGTGTGTGTGTGTGTGTGTGTGTGTGTGTGTGTGTGTGTGTGTGTGTGTGTGTGTGTGTGTGTGTGTGTGTGTGTGTGTGTGTGTGTGTGGGTGGGTGTGTGTGGTACCCTCCTTGTAATTTAGTTGTATTCAATTGCCCATCTGCATGCACCGAGAAACCTCACGTGTTAACTGTTATTCTACCTTTTCACCTGTGTTGTTCACACATTCTGATTGTAGTTTATCTTCTTCAGTGGCATGTTTGTTAATTAATCTTAATTTTACCACTTTACCACTGCTTGATCATAAAGATCTGACGGGGTTGGAGAAGTGTAGCGACACAGCTACTCTGTAAAACTTCAACATGGCTTGCAACTCTCCAGCCTTCTCAGATTGGTAGTGGTGGTTTGTGGGATTCAGCCTCAGTAGACCGGCACACCTCAGGTGTATGCGTCTCCTGTGCTTGACCAATCAGTGCAACTGTGGGTAAGGTGTGCAGAGCTGAACGCTGTTGTGTAGAAATGTCTCTTGTTCTCCGTGTCTGTAGTTCCTCACCATCTGGTGCACTGGTGCACTCCTAGTTTACAAAAAGAAGATCAGTTAAACAGAGGTCTAATGTGTGGCCGGTAGTGACTGAGGATATGATTAAACAACAGGACATTTTATTTAAATTAAAGCTTTTACTTACTATACAAACGTAATGGCACACAAAGCCAGTAGCTACAATAAATCAATGAAAAAAAGGTAACAAAACAAATGCATCAAAATGAAATAAATCTGGGTGCACAAATGTAGCTAAACGTACAGTAAGAAACATTAAACTTTGGAAGCAGAGCTGTGGAAAAAAGTGTACGGACTGAATATCATTTAAATAAGGAGGCACCATTTATCAAAATGCAGGTCAGTACTGTATATTTTCCATAACAAAAAGGGTACTTTCTGTTAGCTTCCTTAATTTTAAATACATCTGAAAAACCAACTTTCATAAAAGTAGCTGAGTAATGGCGGTCATTGTTTGCTTGTTTGCATGAGCGCCTCTCTCAGAAACAAACATTGACCAGACTTTATCATCATGACTCTAAATCTATTACTGTTTGTCTGTTTTTAACTATTGCTCCTGTCCCTCTGTTCTCTCTGCTCCAGGTTTATCTCCACCCTCCTACTCCTTCGGCCACGCTCAACCCGTCATGTCCTCAGAGGCGGCTGCTGCCCTCTACCCTCAGATTGGTCAGATGCTGCTGGCCCCACGCCCCCTGCACCCAGGACATGCATACTACCCCGCCTCGGCTCAGCTATACATGAACTACGCAGCTTACTACCCAAGGTAAACGGCGATGTTACAGGTGAACAGAGAGACAAATGGGGGCCTTTCAATACAGCCCTTCATGTTATCTGATTCCTCGGTCTAGGACTTCAGACTTTCACGTGTATGAGATCCCTCAGTTATCTCAATATCTTGAACCAGTCCTCAGATTATTCCTAACAAGGACCCCATGACTTATTGTTTTGTTAGGTTTTCTGCATGATTTTATCATGACAAAAGTGTGGTTAATAGTTTTGACAAATGAAATACTTTGACTAAGAACTCTCATAGCAGGAGATCTTAAATGTTTCAGAATAAAGATATTGTAATCGAAATAACAGTGTTGAGTTCAAGCAAAACAAGCAAAACAACAAAAACTTAACTGGTTTAAAAAGGTTCAGTGCTTTTCACCATGTAGGATATACTGCCGTGATGACATTTTCTAATCAGACATGCTTTCAAATTCACTTTCTGTGGTAATCACAAATCAAATGAACCGCTTGAGGGTTGTTGGAGAAGGATTTAAGAGCTGAAGATCCTGTCATTGTTTATTTGTTGGCTGTGTGCTGATGAGTAAGCGAATAAGAAAACCAAACCGGTTTTGTTTAGATGTTTGATTTACTGAACCTTATGTTTGCTTTTATAATGGTAACTAGAAAAACATGCATGCAATAAAGACATAACACATACTGAATTTAATTGTATGTTATGTATATTGGAGAGCCCTTTCAAAATTCAGTATTTTGTCACTGATATTCAATTTTGCGTTCTACTTGCACATTTTCCCTGTGACCTTCCACAAAGACTGCATGTAATGTCAATGGCTTAAACATTGATTTGACTGCAATAATACCCTAGTGAAGTGTATTTTTTTTTATAAATCTGGTATTTTATTTGAAAAGAGGTGTAGTTTTGGTTCAATTGTGTCTTGACAAGGAGAAGGTTGGGAGAAGGTCAGTTAATAACTGAACGCTGTGGTATCAAAGAACTTGGTAAACTTCAGTGACCTCTGTTTCTGCCTGGTTAGCCCTCTCTGTCATTGAGAAAACATTTATAGACGACGCCCAGAGTTACTCTCAATCTTCTGAAGCGTATCTGCTTTGTTGGCTCAGAGACATGCAGTTTTCAAGTTTGTTTTTTTCTTAGATATTTTTATGATAACAGTCTGCCTTCTCTCTTGTCTCTCTCCAGTCCACCTGGCTCACCCACCGCTCTAGGTTTCTACCCCACCCCCTCCTCGCTGTCCTCCCAAGGGGGGTTGATGCGCATGCCAGGTCTGACATACAACAGCAACGGAGTCAAAGACCTCATTAATGCAGTGCAGGGATACCAGGTAAGAGACTTAACCATATATGCTTAATAACTCTTCATACAGTTCCTACATGCAAATCCTCTGTGGCTTCCTAGCTCACACACATCGTTGCAGGATCTAAGTGTTGTATTCAAATCTTCCTCTGCTGTGGGTGTGTCTTGTCAGGCATGCACTGTGTTTGCCCAGAGGCTATCAAACTAGTTTATCCTGTCTCCTCTCCCTGGTTTGTCACACATGCACTGCTGCTTGCTTCGACTTGAATCGGAGAAACTTAACTCTCGTTTTAACTTGGAAGTGCGTGAAGGATCCCAGGGATATGTTAAAAATATAGATATATTAAATTAAGAGACATGTGGAGTGAGAATGTGCAGTTTGTTTTTCACTCTTTCATGCTGGAATTAAAAGGTCCTTGTGGTCTTTAGGTTAGAATCTATGGTTGTTTGTCACTCAGCCCCTGTCTCTGTCATTCCTCCCCCTTCATCACACCACAGTATACCCCAGAGGAAGCTCTCATGCACGCCCACGGGGCTATGCACGCTCACGACCCGACCGGGACATTGCTTACACAGCCCAAAGAATGGGTGTGTATTTAAGGTGTCTAAGGCAGGTGGCAGGTAAGGATTGGCTCAGTGAGGGGTTTAGTTTGTCCATGGTTGGTGTAGCTGCGGCTTGGGTTTTGAATGGTCATCGGGGAAACGGGGCTCAACAGCAACATTCCCTATGCAGACATAAGTGCTAATCACACGCAGTAGCAATAATGGACACATTCTCGGTTTGGGTTGAGTGGTTAGAAAAATTGAATTGAATCAATCCCTGTTTTTTCTCTTTAATTGTTGTGGCTTTCATCGCAGCGTTATCGATCTGATACAGGCTACTACATTTATGTTCTCAGTTATTTATTGGCTAAAGCGATAGCCAAGAGGATTAATTGACCGTTCCTAAACCCCTCCAATCAGTCATTTTCAAATGGTAGCTTAGCTGTGTTATAGCAGACCTTTAGCTTTGGATTTCTGTCTTTCTTTACTCTGTAACTCATGAGTTAAGAAGATGGTGTTTTTTTAAATCATCTTTCTTAAACAAAAACACCACAATAAAAGTGTGAGGGTTGGATTAGACACTGTTTATCTGCTTTAATATGAGTTGCAAACGTTAGCATGACTAACTAACTACAAGTAGAGGCATAAACTCATATACAACTCCAAACTGGGTCAACTTTGATTGAATTAATAAAGCAAATGGCTCAGCAAAAATCAAACATTTTGAATACTGCAACTGCTCTCATTCGTGCTTCCAACTAGATTTTCTCCAACCCCAAGTTGGGCTTATGGGTATTGTAGTATTTAAGCAGTAGTGCAAAATGCTTGACAGGCATAGCAACAGTAACTAAGGGGGTGCAGGGCTTAGTGAACGGTCGGTGGTGGTGGTGATGTAGTGAAATAATGACGGGTAATAACAGGTGTAGCCTTGAGGTGGATGAGAAGGTGATGGGTAACATCTGGTGCTGGTGTTAGGGCTCTGTGTTTGGCGCTGTTACAATGGGATAATTCTCTTCTCTCTCTCCTCCCCCTTCCTCACCCCAAACCCTCCTTCCTCCCCCACCCCCAGAGTCCCGCAGAGTCCATGTCTCTCCTGAGCAGCAGTCTGATTGGTCAGTCCAGCGGAGGTGAGGCTTCTCTCATGTCCCTCTCCGGTCTCATGGCCAAGCCGGGGGGGCAGTACCTGGACCTGACCCTGTTGTAGGGTCACAATTTAACAAAGGTCATGTGACGATTTGTTATATGTCAAAGACTTGTAATGTATTGTTAGGTTTTTAAAAATAGTCTTTTAGATGTGTTATTTATATCTTTAAGATCAGAAATTAATGTATTTTATACCAAAATCATTGTGGCCGTAGCCCAAAAAAATAGCAGTTTTGTCTTATATTGCACAGTGTGTATTTTAAAAGCTTTATAGAGATTTTTTTACATGTAAGAATATTATAATCATGATGATATATTTTCTAGCCAAACTTGAGAATGATGAACTAGTAGCTACATTTTTTCCAAAAGCTTCTCTGTGAAGAGTGAAAGTGTGCGCGAGTGTGTTTTAGTGTGAAAGAGATGAAATTGAGGATTATGCATGGCTGTGTTGATACATCTTAATACTCAATCTGTTTATGCAACTCATTTAATGTGTTTATATACACTTGATACAGTACACAGTGATTGTATTGGAAGCTTTAGTGCATGAAGAAGTTAGTAGTACAACTTTTAAGATGTTTACATAATGCCAAATATCAATGCACTGCTAATCAATAAGACTACTAATGAATATTATAGCAGTATCTTCGAATGATAACATATGTTACACTGTGAGTTTGTCCAAAAGTCAGCCTTCACTTACAAAATGGTGACATCTCGCACTCATTAACCCCCTCGTTCCCTTTACATCTGCCCTATACGGGTGTGTTTCCATGTTGTGAAATGCCTATGTTGTCTTGCCCTTTGTTTTTGACTCACATTTGAACAGAGGACATTCCCACTTCTCTGTAACATAACCACAGGGTTGCATTCTTCAAGAAGACTCATGTCACAAGCTCTCATCTTACTGATTGAATCTCAGGAGCCAGAGGTGGTTTATGACCGATTTAATTACATGTTTTGCTCAAATAAGACCAAAAAGATGTTATCAGGCCATCACACTTTCCTTGTCTTCTTTTCAACATCTATGTGGGGGATGCAAAACAGGTTTCCCTGCAGAAATCGTTTTGCCATTTCTCTTGTTAGCTGAATCATTTGGAGAGTTAATGGAAAGTTGAAAAGCAAAGGTAACAATGAACACCTCTGACGTGTATATTGTGAATAATTAACTTCACTGCCACTTTTGCCCTGTTTGGGCTTCATGTTGCTGTACACACATCATACAGTGGGAGTCCTGCTCAGGATGTCAAGCTGTGTCAATGCTGAAACAACAATAAATATAACATGTGAAGTCTGCCAGCTATCAGGTGTTTAATTTCTCGATTTGCCTTTACTCCACCTTGATGTGTACTTATTATGTTGGCTGTATTTTGGGAGTATTTGTGAAGGAGCACAAACACACAGGTGTAGTTGTCTGATGACAGAATGTTGCTGGAGGCCAAACTGTGGTAACTCCCTCACGCCATTCTCCGTGATTACTGCTGCGTTTCCCACACACACACACACACACACACACACACACACACACACACACACACACACACACACACACACACAGGCTCTGGCAAAGAAGCTATTGTCCCTCAGACACACTAAATTATCTGAGAGGATGGCCCTTTTTTTAAAAGAATGGAAGGAAAGCAGACAAAACCACGTCATACCCCCTCAGGGCAGATTTGGCATTGTGTAATACAATCTTGTGCACCCCACCCAACTTGATCTCTTTTAAAAACACACGCTCACACTCAAACACTGCCTAAACCAACATAGCAACACCATTAATATCATTACAACAGAGCCCAACATACTTTTTTTCTCTTGAACTTGTATCTCCTCATTGACTAAGATTTAAGTGGGAAATGATGTGAGAAAAAATGCAGCTCAGGTTCAAAATAAGTTGTTACTACAAAACTAATCAAAAAGGGCTTTTATGCATGACAAAGTGCAACCTCTGTATATCAATTAAGCCTCAGTTTAAAGGTGTAATTTGCACAATTGAAGTGCAGTTTATAAGATTCAAAATATTGAGTCAATGAAAGTTATTTAACCTATGATGTAGTATAATACAAAGGATATAAGGAGCTGCTGAAAAACGATTATAGGGTTCTTTCCTTTTTTCTCTACGGAGGGTTCTCTGATATATATTTGTGTTCTTTTTCGGCAAAGCAGGGGATGGTCTTTATCATTCAATTTCTCCAGAACTATGTATTTTCTTTTCTTGTGAGTTTAATTGTATGAATAAATAAATGAAAAGTGGATACTTCCAAAAATACTTTCCATTAACACACTTTTAAAACACAAGGTCAGCCCCCCCCCCCCCCCCCCAACCTTAATCATTTTCAAACAGTCCCTTATTACATAAAACAGGATGTGATTGGTTAAACCTTGAAAGTCTTGTTTGTTGGCTCACCCTCATAATTACTTGTCATAATCCGCATTAATTCTGTTGGATAAAAACATCTGTGGTGCATTCCTCATACCAGAGCGTCCCCGCTGCACCTTGTTTTGAACATTTATTCTAAACAAGTCACAGAGGGACAATTACAGGCTGACTCACTGTACCCAACTGTACTTTATAGGTGTGTAAGATAGATACATGAGTAATATAACAACATTCCCTCAACAGGTGGGTGAGGCCTACACACATTCAGCACACAGGGCGAGTCTCAGCCACATTCCCGTGTCAGCGCGAGACCAAAGACGATGCTTTGCAGAGTTATCAAACTGATAATGTGTGCTTTATTAAGATCAACAAAATCAACATATACAGAACAGCAGCAGATCATCAGTCGCGACAGATGTGTTTGAACAGGACTTCTGAGATCAGTTTTGCATTTTGACCTGTGATATTAAATCATCAATGTGCTCAGCTGTGACTGCACATGTGTCTCCATCTAGTGGGTGGATTGAGACTGCAGCTGTAAAGTCTTACAGTACAATCCAGCCTCAACATCTCCCACACATGGCTGTTCTTCACTTTCTACACACTTTGTTCAGGTTCAGTTCTCTAAACACTGCAATTGTATCTGAAAAATAGATATCTGACATAAGGAACTAAGCCTGCTCTGTAATCAACATATATTGTATTTTCACATTTCCAAAAAGTGTAGAGATCAATAAACAGTTTAGGCATAAAGAAGGACATTGATGTGATGATGACAAAGAAGTAGAACATAACCCCAAAGCAAATTAGATAAATATGTCATCATGTAACATTTATCATGCAGGCAGCACCAGTCACATCTGTAGCTTGTCTGTAATGTTTGAAAGTCCATTTTCTTCTACCTCGCTTAGTTTTTACAGGTTCATTTGAAGTAATATAAAGAAACATAATCCTAAAGTAAGAAGTAAGCAAATTGCCTTTATGCAAATATATATTTATAACTAATGAATGTATTATGCAAATATACAAATGTTGATTGCAGCCAACGCCTTTGGGTCCTCTGCACTTTCCTCACTTAAATGGCGGGTCAGCTGCGCCAAGGGTCAATGTCTCAGAGCTCCGTCATCAAGAGGGCTCTTAGTATCTTCTCTCTGTCCAACCTCATTTCTTCTCCGCTGAAAACACAGAACGATACAAAACTCAAGTTGTTAAAAACATCTACATTTGAGTCCGAACAATTGTCCTTCTTCCTGACAACCAGATCGCCATGATGCCCTAGAAAAGCTTCAGACCACTGGATGAAGGTTTTATCAATTGCACAATGGGAACAATGAGAGTTGAGGTGTGTTACCTGTCAGTATGGGCAGCAAGGTAAGGGGCCAGGCGAGGAATGGAGCTATGGTAGTAAGAAGGGGAGGGGTGGGGAGAAGGCGAAGGAGAGGGACGGCATGGACTACCCAGCTCCAGAGCTGGCATATTTTCCATCTGGAAAAAACATCAGTGTTCACACACAAACATTCCTCCGTTTGCTACATGTCATATCATATGAAACAGATACAGTGTACCTACAGCCACCAGACTCCATTCACAAAAACAGCATTTTAGCCACAGGATGAAGGAGTTCCTGGGGTACCACCACTGCCTCCATCAGTTAGTTTGTTCATGTTATTTTGGTTGGATTCAGTGCTTTGATTTGTTTTGATCTCACACAATAACACAAACTAATGTAAGGTAGCAGTAGACCAGCATCTACCGCATTATGCTTAAATAAAAAGGCGGTTTGAAAGCAGACTTTATAGTGAAATATGAAAATATTCTAAATACGTACACCAGAACTGATATTAACCATGGATAAGCCTCATACAACCCTTCTTAAAAACATCTGAACTATCCCTCTAAGGCAGGGGTGGCCAACCAGTCAGAGGTTAAGAGCCACATTTTTTCTATGTTACTGCAAAGAGCCACATCAAACACACAGTCACTGATACCGCTTGTTTCCGTTTTTTGTTTTCTGGAGACAAGATTTCAACCACGTCACTGATGCATTTTTGTGGCATTGGGATATATATTTTTTAAATCCTCTGGAGCAGAGAGAGGAGCTGTGGATTATTGTTATTGATTAATGCATCAGTGTTTCTTAGGGTCAAAAACACTAAACTCACAACTTCAAATGAAAGCGTTTAGTTTATTTAATAAAAGAGCACATGTTCAATGTGAAAAGTGACAGTAGTTATAGATTATTTGCAATTTGGTGCGATATATATATATTTTTAAAAAAAAAAAAAATTTTTTAAACACCTTGAATTTCAGGGGGGGGGCGCGGGGCTCCGTTGGCGGGGTGCAGCGCCCTTCCAAGACAATGGTAGGGGAAACACTGGATAGTAGTGTTTAATCAACGATAGGTTTTCCCCCCCTCAAAAAGTGATTGGTTCACTGCATCGCAGGTATTATTGTGATTGGCTCTTGGGCCACATCAAAATTAGACGCGCTGTCATCCTCTCATACTGACACCTGACACCACACATACACACGTAGGGAGAGCCGGGACGAAAGTAACACGGGACGAAAGTAACACGGAACGAAAGTAACGGAGCAATTTTATCCGAGCCCAAACAACTTTGACCGGCCAAATTACGTCAGAATTATCAGCATTCAATACTTAACAGACCTACTAAATATCAGGTTTAACTGTCGTGTTGTCACGATACCAACATTTTGGTTTCGATACCAAGTCAAGAATTGCGATTCCGATTATTTTTCGATACTTTTCTTAAAAAAAGGGAAACAGTCTTAAATGTAATTATTGTGCTTTATTTCAGACCAGAACCAGAACCATAACACAACCTTTAAACAATGAGAACAATAAATACAATAAATGACAAGAATTCGTATTAAATAAAATTAATTCATTTCTTACAGACAGGCCTCGTGGTGTCCGTAGGCTTGCCCTCACTGTCAGAGATATAGCTAAAATACTTCCACATTTCGCTTCTGGCGTCTTTTTTGTCAACAAGCCGAGGGGCAGCGGCAGTTGCACTCCCACTTGCAGCCATGCTTCTCCTTTTCTCACATGCTCTGGCAGCTAGCGCGTGCACGAGAGCGGGGAGGCACTTGAGCGTGCTTTAGAGGGGCGGGACTGCAGGCACGGCTGCAGAGCAGGGAGTGGAAGCAGAGCGCTGAACACACACAGCTCTTATTTAAACGGCGCTTTCTCACCGGAGTACTTTCCGCCGTCATTCTTAAACGGAGGAATCGTAACGTTTTCAAGTATCGGTACACCGTGCACCACTAGTCAGGAGTCAGTGTCTCTCCCCCGAACTCACACATATAAAATTCAATATGAACTGAAGAGCCGCATGAAACTAGGCAAAGAGCCGCATGCGGCTCGAGAGCCGCAGGTTGGCCACCCCTGCTCTAAGGTGTGTGTGAGAGTGTGTGTTACCTGTGGGTATATGGACGGCTGTATCTGTGTGTCCAATGAGTTGGTAGATCCTGACTTCCCTGCACTCTGGGAGGAGATAGCTGCAAGTGCTTCTGGGAGATCATTTTCATCTTCATGGTTACTGTAAGAGAGATAAATACTGAATGACTTAAAAATTGCATTTTTAAAGAGCAGAAAAAGTGTTCTTTTTGGAGGATTTGTTTCAAGAGTGTAATGCCCCTGTTGCGAAAGCTCTGGTGCTGGTTGGGAGACAGTAATCAGAGGTGAAGTTTACTCACAAGCTGAACTGTCTGACCAGTCGTTTTCTGCGGTTGGTGCTCGTGTTAGATCTGGGCTGCCGCCTCTCTGGCGTTGGGTTGCGGTCTTGCAGATGTGGCATCTTGTCTGCTGTCAGACTGGATGCAGCTGAATCTTGGGAAGAGCTCTGATACCTGAGGACCAGAAACATCATCACACAGAGTTAATCTTCCACCCACTT